GATAGATAGATAGATAGATAGATAGATAGATAGATAGATAGATAGATGGATGGTTGGATAGAGATGATAGATAGGTAGGTAGGTAGATAGGTAGATGGATGGATGGATAGAAATGATAGATACTTCCAGTTTGGGCTTCTTCGGCGACGGACCGAAATCCATGATCATGCACAGTTTCAATCCGTGCTCACCACTGGAGTGCCCCAAGCCACTTGGATTCGGAGCTAAGCCACCCCATAGCACTGGTGAAGAGTGGGGAGACTGCCAGCAGGGTTGAGGAGAGCAGCATCTCTCCTCCTCGGCTGGTCACTACTCCCTTTCCCAAAGGCAGTTGCAGCAGTGGTCAGAAATAGTCACTACAAAGAAGAACCCAACTGAACAAGATTGTGCAGAAGGAAGATAAAAGAGAAACTTTTGACTAACCAGTTTGAATTAAGAAAGTAACTATACGAAAGTAACTATACCCTGGATTTTGAACTATAAAGAATAACACTGTTCCCAAAAAAGATCTTTGAAGCAGCGAAAGAAGAGGAAAGGGAAAAGATTTGGTGTTTTTCTCTCTCTTACATTGACAGTTGTAATTGGCTTTAAATGCTAAGAAGAAGAGCTCTAAGCAAGAAATTGATATAAATCCACTTTGACATTAATAGGCAATTTTAAGTTGAAAATAAAATGTCAAAAGGATAATAAAGACTTTTGGATATTTTAAAACCTTTAAAAGGAGGAAAGGAAAGGAAAAAAGAAAACAAAAGGATGGGATATGGAAGAAATGGAGGACACCACCTGAAATTAAAAAGAATTAACAGTGAAATTTTAACAAGACTCCTAAAAGATACATTGTAATTGAAACTTTGCTACAAGATAAGAGAACCTCCGGAAAGAGAAAGTAGAAAAAAGAATCAAGAAGAAACAGCTTTGGATTATTTGGATTACTTGGTGATTTTTGGAATTTTGGTTGTTGGATTTTAATGACTAAAATTAATTGGGTGGTTGTTTAAAAGTGTTTAAAATGGCATCACTCCTTGAAGAGCTAAAAATGGAACTTAAAAAACAGAAAGAAGATGCACAAGAGGGAAGAGGATCTTTTGGCTTCATATTTCAATTTTTAGAAATGGAGATTTTGAACTATGAAAAACAACAAGAAATGCTTGCAGAACAAGAAGGGCGGGACAAAGAAGAAGCCATCTTTAATGCTCAAGTAATTCTATGTGGGGTTAAAAAGGAAAAGGGGGGGAAAGGGATTGAAAAACCTAAAATCTGAAAAAACAACAAAAAAAGAGAATAGCCTGAAAAGTGATTACAATAGTAGGAAGAAGCAGAAGAGAGGATTACAGAAGGGAGAATTAGAACTAGAGAGAAAGGGGGTCATAAAGGCGAGGGAGAAGAAGAGGGGGAAAATAGAAAGAAGAAATTATAAAGGACAGAAACAGGATATAGAGAAGCAGGGAAAATGTACAAGGATTCACAGAGATAATGGTTGAAAACTTAGTTGAAAGAGAGGATTCTGCAAGGGTACATTCGATAGTATTGTTATATTAGAAATAGTAATGGGTATAGAAAATACGAAATATAGGTGATTAAAGTGATAGATAAAATTGGTACTGTTATGTAATGGAATGTAACTAAATGAAATAAAGAGAATAAGAGAAAGGAAGTGGGAAAGGATGGGAATATTTTAACTGTTATCAAATGATTTATTAAAATATAATTGAAAAGAAATATGAATATCAGATGTTAAGATGAATTTGAGTAGAATAACAACTCTATTAATTACTTTACTTCCTTTTCTGTTAAGAATGTATTGATTTTTAAGGGAATGTACCAAATAGAATTTGGTTGATAAATTATGTGAAATGGAATGTTATAATTTTATTTTTAGAACCTAGTGTGTATTTCTAAGGGAATGTACCAAGCAGAATTCGGTTGATAAGAGTTATATGTTATAAAATAGAGGTTAGAAATTCAATGTTATAATTGTTAAGATATAAATTAAATCTTAAATGAGATTTGAATGGACAGTAATTTAAAGATATAAAGGTGTTATACTCCAGTTAGTAATTACAGGGGAAATCTTGTTTTATGAGAAAAGAAAGTATGAAAGTGTAAATAGGATAGACAAAAGTGTAAATATAATGCTTAGAAAGATACTGAAATTTAGAAAAAGAAGAATATGTAAATGAGTTTATGTCTGTATAGAGAAGTGATAACCTGGAATCATGCTGTTCTCAAAAAGATATTTTAATTCTATGTTTTGTGAAAACCCAAATAAAATTTTTACAAGAAGAGATGATAGATAGATAGATAGATAGATAGATAGATAGATAGATAGATAGAT